CATTATGATTGGCTGGCATGTGGCAAAGCTTACCAGCAAATCTGGCCACGTCGAGGCTACGCTCAAGCCCCTGGTTGCTACCGGTCATTCGTATGCCCATCAAAGTTCGTCAACCGCTTTCGGTGACCTGGCAGTAATTTTGGAAATGGACTATTGTATCGGTAGCGGACGATCTCGTACCCGAATATATATTATAGCAGCATTCGTGATGGACAAAATGCATTTGCAGATCTGATGGACAGGGTTGAGAAGCCACTGTTGATACTGACAACGATATGATATTCTATACAGCGGATTCCGTATCTCATGAAATTTAAAGCTAAATTCAAAAATCTGTTTTGGATTTGAACACATATCTTAGGTACTATCGTAATATTTACTATCATAAACCTAATGTCAACATATGTCCGTCACGCTAGAGAGCCAGCTTTTGAACGAGCTTCTTTCGGACAAATATACTGTGTAAAAAATGGCTACTAAAGTATTATGCATTTTGTCAGTGGTTTCCAATGCAAGTTAAAGCTTTTTTCGTTGGTGCTGTTTGCATCGATTTTTCTGTAAGAATTCAATTGTGGTATTCTCCCATACGTTATTCGTGTTATGCAGTGAATGGTCGCAGTTAAAAAGCTTGTCGCGAAATGTACCTATATCCTTTAGGATGCCTTTCCATGAAATTACATTTCTTGGGATGCCTGCCTTTCGGTTTACACGAAATGTATGGTTAATTAAATTCTGCTGTCTGTGCTATCTTCAAATTTTTGATGCCCTTTTAAATTGAGATATTAAATTATAGAGCACGGGGAGTTCAAAGTCGTTCGCCTATCCTTCCCTCAAGAAAATGAGACTGATACATGCACAAAATATTGCTCCTTTTATTTGATTGGTATCAAATAATGCACTCTTTAAATTCTATACCTGAGGAATAAATATCTGTCCACTTTTGGAAAATTTATAATCACGAGGCGTTTTACTTTCGTGAAATTCCCATTCATAATATATAGTGTCCGTAAATTTATTAATATTGCCTATAAAACATACACCACGATCCACATAGATTGTGGCCTGTTGGTCCTACCCTAGTGAAATTTGTACGTTTCCCTATTCATAATTTAAACACCATGTAATTTTGAAAGTTTGAACTCAAGTGTAACGGCTTCAACAATAAAAGGAAATTACGAAATACCTTTTTAACTGAACGGTACCCTTTCTTTATGTATAAAATGTGAAAAAGGCATTATTTTCTACCAAAGGAATATAAAACACAATATTTTTCTACATGTCTCCTATAAAATGTAGTTGAATTCACAAGGGTATCGGAACTCTCTGAGAAAAATGCATAATCAATAAGTAGCCATTTTTACAGAGTAAAGTTCCTGCAGACAGTCAGAAGAAAGTTCGTTCAAAAGTTGGCATCCTGATGTAACTGACATATTTTGAGATTCTGTTGTACGACAATTAGTATTACACCTCTAATTAAGAGGTTTGTTTGAATCGACATTTCATGAGATAGGGAATTGACTGTAATAATTATTACGACGGAGGTACATGCATAATTAACATAAATATGCAGGGCAATGTGGCCAACCGTATTTCCCCTGCAGGTTAAAATATTTTTGACGCCCTTTTCAACAGAAATTGGAAAATTGACGCGTTCGATATTGAGCATCTAATGTTTTACAAATAGTGAATCTGTTAACCTCTCCAAAACTTCAAATGTCCAGTAAATCTAGTCCGATGTATTAACTTCTTCGTACAATGACCGCAGTTGCTTCTGAACGGTGTCTGGGAGCTCGCTTTATTGTTTTTCTCCGCAGGGTTGGCTATTTTGGAGCTAGCGAGGAAGATGTTAACTGATTTTCGCTGCTAGTTTATACTTGTTTTTCAGCTGTTATATGCTCATTAAACATTAAATTTACGAACGAATGTTAGGGTCATTATACTTCTACCATATGGAGTTTCCGTACTTTTCCGAAACCGAAATACCTGGTCTCGAAAGGTACACATTAAAGCAGAGCAGAGGTCAAGTTGAGCTGAACGCTATACTACCCATTGGATCTCAGTTTGTAGTGTTCTTTAAAAACCTGTCAGAAAAATTTATTCAAATAAGTAGGGGAGGGAGGAGGGGTGATTGAGACATTTGAACAATTCATTTGACTCAGTTGTGAAACACTCGGCGGCCTCTGTGGGCTTCAAGCCCAAACCAGCAAGGTGGAGACTTTTGAACAGCCAACGCTGCTGCCACCTGAGCTATGAGGTCCCATCGGGAGCCGTGTTTTTAAGACTAGGTTCAAGTTATCCACCCACCCAACCTCCTAAAAAATATTTATTCTAGCAATTCTGGTAAACTTAGCTAGTTATTTAAGAAACATTTCATAAACAATCAATCCGGAATCCAAAAGACTACAGCAAGCGCGCGCTTCAAATTGCGGTTTGAATTTCTCGTCCTCCGTGGGAAAT